GGCAGCGCCTTCCTTAAACCCAGAGGTTCCATTCCCAAATTTTCCCTCGGAGCAGGAGCATCCCTGCATGAGCCTCCTAACGAGATGTTAAGTGATTATAATTTGCCAGAAATGAATCAATACCACAAACCCCCCCTGTCAGTGCCACAGGGACAAAAATCCTGGCCACAACCCCAGGACAGAGGGTGGTGGCACCAATGGGGCCGAGAGGAATGGGGTTTGTGACCACCATGGGGACACAGGGCCCATCCCTGGACACCCCTGCCCTGCTCTCGGGCACTGCTGGGACCTGTCACTGCTTTGCTGAGGGAACTGGAGGAGCGAAGGGGGATTTTTTTCCTGCCTCCCTCATTCGTCTGCTGCTGTTTTCCCACTCCCTGCCAGCCCTCTCAGCTGGAGCCATGGAAATCGATGAGGAATCACTGTGGCTGGCGATGGAGCTGCCATGAGACCACTCCAGCTGACAAACACCTACCAGGAGAGGCGGCTCAAACACTTCCACGCTCATAATCAGGATCTCAAATCCTTCCTGGGATTGGACAGCTCCCAGACTTCCCCCATTTCCCTCACTGTGCATCCAATGCCCTTCAGTCCCACCTGCTCCAGCCCCAAAGAGAGCTGGAGCAGCTCCCACGAGTCCCTGCTCCATCCCAAAACAGGGATGATGCTCACTCAGAGCCCTCAGCACAAAGATTTGGTTTACTGGGACGCAGCTTCTGGAGAAGGCCACTGTGAAATGCTGAGAATTTTAGGGTGCATTTCATCGTATAAACATTCCAGCCTCTAAGCTTTGTGGGGTCACCATCCCAATTCCAGCTTTCCAGCCTCTTCCAGCAGCTGGCTCCCACCTGGCTCCTCATCCAGCCAAAATCCCTGTGTCCTGCCAGTGCCAAGGCCACTGACAACCCAGGTGCAGGCACAGGGAAGGGATGGAGGGGAGATCCAGGGCAGTGCTGGGAAGGAAAAGGATCCCAAACACCAACACAAAGAGAGCTCCTGGGAAAAGCCATCCCTCACCTCCCCAGGCTTCAAGGGACAGTTTTGGGGACCCTCCAGGTGCCAAGGGGACCGTGTCACAGCCAGGCTGGGGGCAAGGGCCACTCTGGAGTGGCTCAAAGCCACTCATGACTCTGAAGAGTCACATTTTTGCCTTTGAAAAACCCAAAATAGGCAGTTGCCAAATTTTTTTTGCCATTGGGCACCCTACAGGAGCAGGACATGGAGCCTGAGGCAGTCTGGGAAGGGCTTCCCATATGGAGAAAGGGTTCCAGTGACACCCAAACCTGCCCATTCCCCCAGCTCCAAAATTCCCTTTCAGCAGCAGGGATGGGACCTGCTTTCCCTGGCACTGGGACCCCACGTGGGTCCATCCAGGGAAACCAGCCTTTCCCAGCAGGGATAGGAGAGTGCAGTGATGCCAGGAGAAGAAAAAGCAAATCCCAAATCCCACTGCCCTTCATCTTCAAAGGGCTCTTCTCATCCCCTTCCCTACCTGCTCCCAGCATCCCCAACAAAAAGGATGAGCAGGGCTCAGCATTCCAGGCTCCCAGTTAAAATCAAAGGATCTGCTGAGATGGATCCCAGAGGAACACCTTATCCCAAACCTTCTCCCTCCTGCTCTCCCAAAAGACAGGTCCCTGGAGGGGAGGAGAACAGCCAAGGACAGGACACAGAGCATCCATCCCAGCACTGCCGTGGGATCAGGGGGTTTTGGGAGCCCTCTGGACCATGGCAGAGGGGTGACCCAGGCCATGCCATGTCCAGCAGGCAGAGAGAGCCTCATTTCATCCATGAACTGGCTTCAGCACCCATCCTGTGCTCCCCAAACTCCCAAAACCTCACTGTTGGCACCACCAATATCCTCCTTGCTAAATCCCAGCAAACCCCAAGCCCCACACCCCCACTGAGAGCCACTTTAGGGCTTTATTATCATTTTTCCCCAGTTCTTTTTTGCTTTTTCATCCTTTCCCTTTCCACCTGGTGCATCCACGTTTCCACCCCATTGCCTCGGCGGGGTTTCCAGCTGGGAGAGCACCGTAATGGCCTCGTTATTTCCAATGAGGAATCCGCGTGTTCAATTAGCCAGAGAAGGGTAATTATCTACTTGGAGGAGATGAGGAAAAGAGGGGGGTGTTTTATCAGGGATCAGCAGAGCTCCCAGCCCAGCCCCTGGATGCTCCAGCTCCTGGTGTCACCAACGGGGACACGGGGAGCCCTGGGATAATCTCACTGTGCTCGGTCTTCCCCACTTTACACCCCCAAAAATCCTCATGCCCTGCACCTGCAGAGCATCCAACTGCTCACTGACATCCTGTTTAATGAGTAATTAACCTTTTTCCTTGTTAATTAACCAGGCAGCACCCCTGGCACAGACAGACAGGTCCTGGCTCATGGTGGCCAAATCCAAAAGTCATCTCCCAACTCCTTCTGGTGCACAGACCCTTGGGGAGATGCTGTTCCTCCAAACCCTTGTAACAAGTTTTTTTTTTTTTTCCTTTTATGGTTTATTTCCTATTATCTATTCAGGGGGGTTTGGTTTTAGTTTTTTTCCACTCCATTCAATAAACACTCCCTGCCTCTCCCACTCTGGCAGCAGCAGGATGAGGGTCCATCTGTGCATGGCCAAACCCTTCCCCAATCTCCACCCAACCCCTTCATGTCCAAAAAGGTCGAGTGAGACCTCAACTCTGCCCTTCCCATACCTTCACCCGGGTTTTAGGCACCCACTGGAAAATCCCAGTGCAGGGATCAGTATCTCCCTGGAGTCCTGTCCTGCACAGCTGGATCCAGCTTTCCCTGGAGAATCACCCACCTCTCCACACCTCATCCAGGGAAGGCACCCATGTTCCCAAGGGACAACACGCCCCCACCCAATGCATTTTCCCATATCTCTTCCCACCTCCCAGACCCCATTCCCCACTAAATCCCAGCACCCCTCATTCCCAGTTTCCAGCCTTTCAAACTCGCTGGGACCCCCCCTCCCTTCTACAATAAAACCCATGGCTTCCCCCTGGAGCATCCTGAGGAGCCAGCTGGGATGTAGGGCACGCAGGGAGAGGCACCTGCCAGGCTCAGCACCTGGGAACATCCCAGCACACAGCATCCAGCAGGAAAAACACGGCTCACCCTCGCACTGCTGCACCCCAAACCCCAGAGGGACCCCGATCCATGGTTTTCCCAGGAACAGAGACAGCGATCCCATGCCAATTCCCCCCTGCCCGAGGCTCAGAGGCCAGACATGGTTTCCCAAACACCGGGATAACAGCAGGGCCAGGGGAAAGCGCCTCGGGATAATGGTGGGAACATAAGGAAAATCCCCTCGGGAACACCAGGCAGACCCTGCGGCTTTCCCCACCACGGAGGATCCCGCAGGGAGCCGGCAGCCCCCGGTGCCCCCCCTCCCTCAGCAGCCTCATTTCCTGCCTCTCTCATTCGCATTATCCCGATTTTACCATAAGGCCCAAAAATTTGCAGGATCATGCTGCTGCTCCGCTCGGAAACTTTGGGTTTTCCAGCCGAGAGGCTTTGCCAGCCGCCGGGACCGCTCTGACCCGCTCGGGAAAGCCTTTCCCTCCCTCCTTTTAGTGCTCCACGGGCACTAAATCCCGTCCCCTTCTCATTTTTTTAGGACAAAACGCGCTGGGCGAGGTCAGTCCCAGCAGGAACGCTACGGCTCAAGTTTCACCCAGCAAATATTCCGAGCCTCTTTGTGTCTCCCCGGGCATACCAGGGATGTCTGCCACGGGAAAACCGGGAGCGAAAGGACACGAAGCCGAGCCTTAGGGCACCTGTCCCTCCAGAGCATCCCGGAATCCATCCCGGCCGCTATCCCAGGGCGGGAGAAGAAAGGAATTTTGGTGGTTTTTTTTTATAGCAGAGAACCACAAGCTGAGAAAGTGTTGGGATGGGATGAGGAGGGTTGGGAAAGGATGGGAACGTCGGGAAGGGATGGGAAAGAAGAGATTGCCCCTTCCAGCAGCGGCGAGCGGCTATAAATGGCCTCTTTGTCATCGCAGCCAAGGCAGCGGGAGGAAAAATGAGGACGGAGCGGCTCGAGGGGGGATAATGAATGTCCCGGCCGGTTTGGGGGTCCTCCTGGGTGTTCCCTCCTCCCGAAGGTCCAAAGCCGGGGCGCGGAGCCCACGGAGGGGCCCCGCTCGCCCCAAACCCACGCGGGTGATGCGGGACAGAAACCCAGCGCTAGAAAGGGGGGGGGGTCTCACCTCTGAGGGGATGCTCCGAGTCCCCAGCGTGGCAGGGGGACCCCCAAACCCCAGGTGCTCTGAGAGCACAGTGCAGGGGGGAGCTCCGGCGCCCTCTGGGGGACCCCAAACCCCAGGTGCTCCGGTACCCCGGAGTGGAGGGGGGGAACCACCATCCCTTGGGTGCTCCCCAGAGCCCCCCGAGGCACCGCTCCGAGGCTGCCAGCGACCCCCCCATCCCCGTTACCTCTGCCATAGGCGAAGGGGAGGCGCAGGGCGCGGCCCTGGCGCACCAGGCTGATGTGCAGGTAGGTAAACCAGGCGGCCGAGGTGAGCAGCGCCAGCAGCAGCAGCAGCTTCAGCTGCTTCCGGAGCTTCTTCACCGGGAGCCGCGGCATCCTGCCGCCCGCATCGCCCCCGCCGCCGCCACCGCCACCACCGCCGCCGCCACCACCGGGCTAACCCCGGCCCATGGGGTCCCCCGCCCTTCCAGCCCGCGTGCTCCGGGCTGGCTGTAGGGCGGCTGCGGCTCGTGGGGCCGGGGCTCGGTGCGGGGCTCGGCGGCCCCGGGCCCGCCGGTGCATCGCCCCCCCTGCGCCGCGCCCGCGGGGGGAATGAATGAGCGGGCGCTGCTCGAAGCCACGCCCCCACCGAGGAGCGACGGCGGCTCCGGCCAATCGCAGAGTGCCAGCCGCGGGCTCTCCGCCAATGGACGCGCCTTGGGGGCGGGGCCTGGGTGGTGCCGCGCGTTTCCACGCCAACGGTCCGGCATCCCCGCGGGGCTCCGCGGGCGCGGCCATGTGGGGCGCGGGGGGGGAAGCCGTGCCCCTGGTGCTGCCCCCCGGCCTGTGCGGCGGGAGAGAGGGGCGGCGACGAAGCGGAACCGAACAGGGTCTCCGTGCCGAGGGGACGGAGAGATCGACACGATTGGTGACGTGGGTTTCGGCAGGGCCGCCCCCCGACCCTTCCCCCCCCCGCGGCGAGGATGGTACGTTCCCGCCTGGCAGCGGCGGGGGCTGCAGCTCCCAGCCCGGCCCGCTGGGGGGCGCTACCCGCAGTCACGGACCGGCCCGGACCCTCAGGGACCCCACGGGATCAGGGGCGGGATCCCCGGGATTATCCCGGGATAAAGAGTGAGGGCATCCCCGGGATCATCCCTCCGCTGGATGCGGGGATCCCATGGGGACTGAGACCCCCGACTCCCACTCGCTGCGTGCAGGAGTCCCATGGGGGCCGCATTCCCGGAATCCTCCCTGCTGGGCGCCGGGATCCCCAGGATCCCCCTCGCTGGATGCACAGATTTCGGGGCTGAGACCGGCCACAACTCACGGCACTGATGTGAGGGCTGGTTCTTCCTTCTGCAGCGCAGGGGTAGAAAACAATGGGATTTTTTCACTCCTCTCCCATCCCACAGGTTGAGGGAATTCCCCTCCTTGCTGCTGCTCAGGATAGGGGCAAACACACGGGAGAAATCCGTTATTAAAGGAAGAAATACACCCACGGCTGGGAAAACTAGAGGGCACCAATGCGCTGGGCTGCGATTCCCAGAAATCAAATTCCAATTTCTAGGGCGGGACCATGCTTGTTCGGTTCAGTTAATCAGGAACATTCCCGAAGTTGCCACTAAAAGTTTCCAGGACAGCGTATCCTGGGACTGCACTAACACAGTTCAAGCACTCGCACATCGTAAAGCCTGAGGGGGGGATTCCTTTAAGGCGCAGCCAGAGCTTTCCAGACATCCCAAATAGCACCCTCGAAAAGTGTCACCTCCTGGCCTCAGCCCTGTGTTTTTGGGAGATGGAGGTGGGCTTGGGGATCCAGCAGGATTTGGGGATTTCACAGGAATTAGGGACAGAGAAAGAGGGAGGGGTAGGAAAGAAAAAGGGGGCGATGAAGAAGGCAAAGAAAGGAAGAAATGAGGACAAAATAAAGCGGAAGAACAAGGTAAGGAAAAAAGCAGGCAAATAAGGGACAAAACAGGGGGAAAGGGAAGAAAGGGACAACACAACTGATTAAAAAAAAAACAATCAAAGGAAAGAATGGGATGAAGGATGAAGGGAGGATATGGGGCAAAAGAGGTGACAAGGAAAGGGACAGGGAAACAAAGGGGTAGAGAGAGAAAAGGATGAAGCAAAAAGAGGGCAAAGCACAGGCAAAGATGGAGACAAGGAAAAAAGCCGGCAATGAAGGGGCGAAGAAAGAAGCGGCAAAAGGGGTAAAGAGAGGGATAAATCAGGAACAAGGACAGCGGGTCGGGGGTTCTCCCTGCCGCGGAGGAGGAGTCTCCTCTCGTGCTTGCAGGGGCGTCCGGAGGGGCGGCCTCTTCCCGCTCCGTCCGAAATCTTTGGGAAACGAAACTAACACCGCTGCGCCCGCCTCCCCCGGTGCCTCCACCTCCTCAACCCCACGCGTTCCCCAGGTGCCGCCACCGCCGAACCACAAGGGATGCAGCAGCCACTGCCGCCCTACGAGGTGCTGCCGGCAGACGTGAGCATGGAGGAGCTGCCCCGGAGCACGACCATGCTGATTGAGGACACGCCGCCGCCGCCCCGGGACCACCTGGTGTGGTCCCTCTTCACCACCCTGTACGGCAATTTCTGCTGCCTCGGCCTGATGGCGTTCGTCTTCTCCGTCAAGGTGGGGAGCACGGGGGGATACCAGGGGTGGGGGTGGCCGCGGGGATCCCACTGAGTCCCTGACCTCAGGGACACTCATAGAGCCCACTGAGCTCCCGGCCCCAGGGTGACACATGGACCCCACAGAGCCCACGTGGATCCCACTGAGTTCCTGGCCCTAGGGTGACTCAGGGACCCCACAGAATCCCCTCTTCACAGACCCCTGACCCCACAGAGTCCTAGCTGGAAGCTCTAGAGATAGCAGGGGTTTGAGGAGGGGAGGGCAGTGAGCACCTCAGGGTATCCTTGGTGTTTTGGGGGGATTCAGCCCAATCCGGCACCTCCAGCCCCTCTCCCAGCCTCCTCCCACAGCTCTGAGCGCCACGGGATGCCCCATTCCTGCACCCCTGACTCTTCCTCTGCCTGCCTCCAGTCCAGGGACCGCAAAGTGCTGGGTGACTACAGCGGGGCACAGAGCTACGCCTCCACGGCCAAGTGTCTGAACATTACGGCCCTGGTGATCAACATCTTCATCGTCATCATCGTTGTCACCATCGTCGCCCTGGCCGTATCCGGGGTCCTCATTCAGCCCCCACCCTCGTACGGGCCGAACCCTTTCTCCGGCGGCACTTAGTCCCCTCCTTGCCCCGCGGGCTGTGCTTCCCACCCCAGCCTGCCCGGAGAGTTCCCCTCACCCCTCTGAGCCGGGGAGCTCCTTCCTGTTATGAAAATTGCAAACTGATCCATCCACAGGCCCCTCCTGGGAGCCTGCTGCTGTCCCTTCCCTCTTTTGTGGAGCCCTTGCTGATGGCTGTCCTCACTGGAGGTGTCTGGGGATGGACGCTGCTCCCCAGAGAGGAGCGGAGCATTCCCAACCCCACTGTTGCTTGCTTGCTGTTTTGTTCTGGGTCTGGAGCCCCCACTGCCTCACAGTTATTCCGAGGAGGAGCACCTGGTTCAGAGAAACTCTGATATCTGAAATAAAAGTTTATTTCACTTTTGGTCCGTCTTGGTTTCGTATAGTGAGGAAGTGGTTTGGGGTTTCCTCCACAGCAGCTTGGCCGGGTGAGAAGCACTATCAGCCCGTGGGATGTGCCTCATCACAGAGACAATGCTCAGGGGACACACCAGGGCCCTGAACCCGGATACTGCATCCACACGGGGTATGAAGCTCTTCCTCCTCAGGAAGGGCTGGCAGCAAGCAGAGCTGAGGGCAAGGTGGCTTTGGTGGAGCGGGATGTGCAAAGGGCTTGAGCAGGATGAGCTGGAGCGGGGTTGAGTGGGGTCAGCAGGGCTGGAGAGGCTCCCAGAGGGAAGGGGCTGGTGTGTGCTGTGACTCCATCCTGGATCGCCTCACTAGGGCTGGATTCCACAGCTCTCCCCTGCAGCCAGGTGATTTGGGATCTTGCTGTGACTCACAGGCCCCATCCCACTTGCCTAGAGCCGGATTTTCCTGGGGAGCGCTGCCCATTTGCCTGCAACAGGAAGCAGGGAATGAATTCCTTGCCTTGCTTCGCTGGCGTGCGCAGTCTTTGCTTTCGCTATTAGACTCATCCCAGCCCACCGGTTTCCTCACATTTACGCTCCTCATCCTGCAAGGGAGGGAGCTCTGGCCAGAGGAAGCCACACCAAGCACCAGCCATGCCTGTCACTCGGCTGGAAGTGGCAGAGCAGCGGGTGGCCATCCTCTCATCTCCCTGCTGCCTCACACACCTGCCACTCCCTGTCCGGCTCCGGCAGAGTCCGGAGCGACCCCGGCAGGGACACGGAAAATCCTGGCCTCAGCCCATCTGGCAGAGCCTCAGCTATGCAGCTGGCCTGGCCTTCCCCTTCACACTCCTCACCCTCGGCAGGGCCCCGGTGCTCGGGGCTGGGGCCCCGCAAGGATGGGAACAAAACCGTGTTTTTCCCTTTCCCCACGAACATCAGGCTCCTGCCAAGACACCACGCTCGTAAGATGTCAGAAATCCCACTCACAATCACAGCGGATATTTGTTGCAGGATATCTGGCACTGAGCCTCTGGTGAATCATTTTTTTGCCCTGCTTTTTTCCTGGAAAACACGGGCTCCTTGCTGCAAACAGGATCTGCTGCCTGCCCAATTCCAGGCTTGGCCTGCCCAAACCCCAGAACATCCAATGGGAGCTCAGGCCAACAAAGGTCAAGATCCCCTCTTCCTCCTCCCTGTTTTTATCAACAGCTTCCAGTGCAATTCCAAAGGGCAGCCCCACACAAGCCAATACGGAAGAAATTTACCCTTTCCCAGCCCAAACCAGTCACTGGCAAAACCTCCCTTAAGCCTGTGACCACTCCAGGCTGCCATGGACAGCTCCCCCACAGCCCGTCTGTCACCTAAACTCGGGAAGAGAATAAAAACCCTCAAGAATGATGTTCTAGCGACAGAGAATGAGGCTTTACTTTGTTCTGGCCAGGAATGAAAAACATTCCATCCACACACAGCTCCTTACCTGATGTTTCCCATGTCTATACAGACAAAAGCCCAAAGAAATTCTCATTCACTGGTCTTAAATTACACAATTCTTAGCATTCTATCTCCTGTCGGTTTATGATCCGTCGGCCTTCGATGCTAATTTGGTCCTCATTTTTCGGTTCTCTCACCGATCGATTTTCCAGCCCTAGCGTCTCCAACCACGCCAGGGAGGTGATGTTGGTCAATGCTCGCTAATGGTCGCTGATCACCTCTGTATCTTCAGGTTACTCCCGAGCTGTGGATATTCAGATCATCGGCAACAGAGCCTTTCGAAGAGAAACTTGAATTCCCTTCCCCCTGGGCGAAGGCGAACAAACCCCTGAAAATGTCATTTAAAACATTACACTTTGTATCATTTCCAACATCACCAACGGCCCTCAAGCCTCCTCGGAGTCCTCAGGATCCCCTCAGAACCTCCCAAGTCCCCCTAAGTCCCCCCTAGAGCTGCCCTGCATCCCCAGACTGCGTGGGGTGGGGGTCCCGGGGGCCGTGCCCCCCCTCCCTCTGCGGGGCGGTGCGGGGCCGGTCCCCCGCCCTGAGCGCGCTCCGTCCCCGTTCCAGGCGTTCATTCCCGGTCATGGAGCCCAGGCAGGCGGACGTGTCCATCCCGCTGCAGTCCTCCGGATGGGGGGCGGCCGCCCCCGGGCCCCGGTCCGACCCGCAGCCCCGGGACTACGTGCTCTGGTCGGTGTTCAATGTGCTGCTGTGGTGCGCGCTGGGCGGGCTGGGCTGCCTCGGCTTCCCCGCGCTCGTCTACTCCATCAAGGTGAGGGGGGGACTGGGGACTCCCGCCAGACGCCCTGGATCTAGTCCTGATCGGCGCCGGGACCCCCAGCCAGGCCGACCCCCAGCCAGCTCCTCTCAGGACTCCTCGGCTGAGCCTGTCACGGGACCCCCGACATGTCCCGACTGCCTCCCTAACTCCGGACTTCCCATCCAGCCCCACCCGGGACCCCCGACCAAGCCTGACTCGGACCTTTCCCTCAGCCCGGGATCCCCCAGTCCCGTCCCCCTCACCCCCAGCCCTCCCTGGCACTACCCCGCTCCTCTCTCCCCTGCCTACCCCCCCTCCAAACCCCTCTCCCCCCTCCCTAGCCCCTTCCAAACCCCTCTCCCATACCCGATTCCCACATCCAGTCTCCCATCCCGGACCCCTAATCTGGTCTCCCATCCCCGATGCCCCCATACCACCCCACCCTGAGACCCCCAATGCTTCGTGCCCCTCTCCGAGCCTGCACCCCCCGAGTGGCGGGACTGCGGGGACCCCCCGATGGCCTCACCCCGTGCCCTGGGTGACACATCCCTGTGATCCCAACACAACCTTGCGGCCACTCCCGGGTGGGTTGGCCCCCCAGCCAGTGCCCCCCACACCCTGAGCCCCCCGTTTGCCCCCCAGGCTCGTGACTGCAAGTTGGTGGGCGACCTGGAGGGCGCCCGACGTCACAGCGACCGAGCCAGGGTGGCGAACATCATCTGCTCCGTGGTGGTCGCCGTCGTCGGGCTGATCTTCATCATCATCACCGCCATCTTCATCTCCACACTCAGAGCCACCTGACCCCCGCCTGGCCCCACCCGCGGGGTGCTTTCCCCCCTCCCCTGCTTCCAAAATGTGCCCGCTCGGGGCGCGGGGGCGAAGGGAATGACCCCCGGTCCCCTCGCTGACCACACCGCGGGTGTGGCCGCACAGGTTGGGGCGTGGGGGACAGCCACCTCCCTTTGCTCCTCTCACGCGCGTCCTGGCACCTGTGACACACCTGTCGGTCACCGATGCCACCAATAAAGTTCGTCCCGCCAAACCCCCTCGTTGTCTCCTCATTCACCGCGGAGAGTCCTCGGGCATCTTTGTGACGTCCTCCTCCTCTTCCTCCTGCTCCTCTCCCTGCCTTCATCCTGCCGCCTCCAGCTCAAATCCTAGGGAAGTTTCTTCCCAACATCTTTGGCATGGCAGAAAAAGAAAATTAAAGCCCTTCCGTGTGTTTTTTGCTGCCCGCGCCCCCCACCCTGCAGCCCTGCCTCCCCCTCCCCGCTGCCAGGGAACCCCATGGATGTGGCTCTTCCACCTTTCCACATTAACTTCCCATTTCATCCATCGGGCAGCCCAGAAGTGCTGCTGAGAGGTGGGGGGGGGGTCGGCCCTGCCCTGCTCAGCACACCTGGAGGGTGGTGTCGGAGATACCTGTGCCAGCCAGCGCCGTGGTGGTCCTGAGGTCCGCCTTGGAGTGACCCTCCTGCGGTGTCAGTCACGCTGGGGCCACCCGTGTGCTCCTCATCCCGGGAGGAAGGCTGCCTATAAAAAGCTCGTCGCCATCCCAGCCTTTCTGTGGGACAACCGCATCTCTCAGGGCTGTAATTTCCCAGCTTTATATTTAGCGGAGCAGGGATATAAAAGGGGCTCCGGCCGTGCTGCCCTGAGGCTGCCGGAGCCGCGGGTGCCCCTCTCCGTGGCCATGGACACCTCGTACCCACGGGAGGAGCGGCCGCCCCCCAAGCGGGGGCCGCCCCCCGCGCCCCGCGACCACCTCGTCTGGGCCATCTTCAACACCCTCTACATGAACTTCTGCTGCCTGGGCTTCGTGGCGCTCGCCTTCGCCATCAAGGTACGGCACCGGAGCGCTCGGGGGCTCCGGGAATCCCTCCCATCCCCAAGGAGGCACCGAGCTCTTGGGATAACTCCCGGGCGGGCTGGGGCGGGCAGATCCCGACACTCTCCACAGGCGGGTGACACCTGCCGCTGGTGAATTCTCCCTGCTTTTCCTGCCACTGATTCCACTGAGGTTGTGGGACAGCCTTGGACAACCACAGCCCCCTGCCCACCACCCGAGGAGCAGCTGTTTGATCCTAAAAAATGCCATGGGGGCCATGATGCCCCTAACCCCCGCCAGGAGCAGGTCCAGCTGTGGAAAGATGGGGACAAGCAGGGACCAGAGTCAGAGAGGCTTCGGAGGAAGCAGGAGGGAAAATCCCAGCTCCAGCTGAATTGGATTGGAATAGAAAGATGGGGACAGGCAGGGGCTGGAGCCAGCCAGGCTCTGGGTGAAGCAGGAGGGAAAAAACAAGTGGGAAAGGATGCAGGGCCAGAGAGGAGCAGGCATGGAGGGATGGAGGGATGGAGGGATGGATGGATGGATGGATGGATGGATGGATGGATGGATGGATGGATGGATGGATAAATTGTAGGTTGCAAGGTGGACACACCCTGGAGCAGGAAGGGGCTGCAGGAAGGGCTGAGGGAAGGGTCTCTCCTGGGCTGTTGCAGGCTCGGGACCGGAAAGTGTCCGGGGATGTGGAAGCTGCTCGGCACTTCAGCTCCAAGGCGCGGTGCTACAACGCCCTGGCCACGGCAGGCAGCGTGCTGCTGCCTCTCCTGCTCGGTGCCCTCATTGTCACCGGTGTCATCCACCTCTCCAAGCTGGCCCAGGAATCCGTCGGCTTCTTCACCTACCAGTTCAGCGGGAGCGACGATGAGGACCAGTGACCCTGGGAGAAGGGCTGGTGGAACCTCCTCTGCATCGCTGGTGGCCCCCAAAAAGGCCACCACCCCTCTCTGCCACCCTGCTCCCCGCCCTGCTGTGAAGGCACAGTTATTTTTGTTTATCCTGTGGGGTTTTTTACCTCCCATTATCCCGTGTGAAGCCCCGGCTTCTGTTGTTACTATTTAAATCATTAAACGCTTCACACAGTGTGAGTTTCTGCGTGTGGAAAGGGGCAGGGAGGTGCCAGAGAGGGAATTTTGGCTCTGATGGGGTTCTGGCAGCCAGGAGACATCATCATTCCCATAGCCTTTAGGGCTACCTCTGGCCACCGGGACCCCCAGGACAGAGGAGGGGAGCAAGCAGAGATGCTCCTGGTCCTCGAGGGGACAGGATGAAGCAAATAGGGTGTCCCCTCCCCAACCCAAAGGGGAGCTGAGACCTGCAAACTCATTACAGCAACACAGACATCCCCAGCCAGTCCCAGCCAGGACAGGGGGGGAGCAGGGATGCACCCCCACTGCTCCCTGCTCTCCCTGCCTGGGCTGGAGATGGCTCATTTTGGCACTAAAGGAACCCTTTTTTGAGGATAAAACCCCTTTATTGCCAACTAGCCCTGGCTCAGAGTGGGGCTGTATCCCGGCCGCATCCAAATCCCAATCCCGGTGCAGTGCACAGGGCTGGGGACAGCGTGGTCCCTTTGTCGTGCCAAGAGCTGCCGCTAATTAGGGGCTGGTGGCTCTGATGAGGCCGGAGCAGGACCCGAGTAATTACACGGCAGCGGGAGAGTCCCTGCTCCAGCCCTAAACATTCCCAGATGCTTCGGGACACGGAGCAGCCGCGGGGCTTTTTATAAACCGGGCCAAGATTCCTGGGGTTGGTTTGGCCAGGACAGACCCCTCAGGGCAGGGAACGCCTTCGGCATTCCCTGCTCCCACCCAGAGCTGCCCCGGGGACAGGGAGGGTGTGGAGGGGAGGATCCTCTGCAGCCCAGAGCGAGGGGCTGGGGGTACCATGCCCACCCTGTGTAGGCACAGGAATTCCTTGGGGATTTCCTTAGGAAACGCCCTGAGCAAACCCACAGCAGCTCTTTGCTTGCTGCTCAGGCAAGGAAAAATGTTTGTCACCATCTGACAGGATAATGCTACAGATCAACGATGTCCAGGCTTCCTGCAGCCCTTCAGACGCCAAGTGAGAGAGGATTTAATTCCAGAAGTGCTTGAAAAGAGAGGGAAGAACCTAGATAAGGGTTTAAAAAACACGAGGGATGTTACACACCAAGTAACAGGAACAGAGCTGTGTGCTGCCCACACGGGGTTAAAAGTCTTTCAGCTGCATATTTTGGAGTAATATTTAGTGCCAAAACATCATTCATCTGGGGAAACAGCACTGGCTGAGCCCCTTGAGCCTATGAAGCAACACATGGGGAAGGCAAGGACCAGGGCAGGACATGCTGAAGGAGCTGGAGTCAGGATCCTGGAGTCAGGAATGGGCTTACTTACAAACACAAATATGCTGTGAGCATAAACAACTCCTGAGCGTTTAGCAAACAGTTCGAAATGGTCATTTTCGGGTTTGGTTTCCTCTCCTGTGTTGAGTAAGGGATGTGTGGAGGGGAGTGGGGGGCTCAGACACAGTGACAGCTCCAGGGCCACAGGGACAGGTAGCACACAAGGACAGGTGGCACACACAGTCCCGGAGGGGCAAAGGCCTCCTGGCACAGCCTGACACCCCCTTTCCACCCACCAACATCCCAGATCTGCCGCTCCAGTGGGCAGCACTCGGATCAGTCGGGGTTTAGGGGGTCCTGCTGGGTGACCTCTGGATCCATCCAGGTGCTGTGGGGAAGGAGATGCTCTGCCCTGCCACAGAAAAGTTTTGTGTGAGAGATGGGAATGGTTTCTTCCCAAATTATTTCAGGGAGCAGATCCAGGCACTGCTGCCATACCTTCCCACAGGGGAAAACGCTGTCCTGATTCCAGCACAGCTTCCAGGGGAAATGCTGGAGGGTCCTGGGAGGTCTCAGTCACTTCCATCCTCATCTCCTCCCTGGTGATGGTGACCTCCAGTTTGTTGCCCAAGTAGGAGATGCTGGAGATTTGCAGCTTGGTGATATCGTCAGGAAAGGTGGGATCGAAGAGCAGCCTGGACCTTGTAATCCTGGAAAGACAGGAATGTGTCAGGGTGGGAACAGCAGGAGCCACAGAGGAGCCCAGCTCGGGGTGGGGGAGCAGCCACCTCTCCAGGCATCACCACCTCAGGCACACCAGAGGAGTCTGAAATCCTTGGTGCATCCAGGGATCTCTGGGCAAATCCTGAACACACTGATGGAGCACCTGGTGAGGAGCTACTGGGACTGCCATTCCACAGCCCACCCCAAGACATTCCTGTCACATTCCAATTCCACAGCTGGGGCCTGAGGTTTTCATGAGGTTAGATTTCATATTTTAAAAAAAAAAAGCAGCTCAATTCCCTGCTCCAGTTCAGAGCTTGGCTTCAGCAGCAGCTGTGCTGGGAATGCCCTGCTCCTCTCAGAGCAGGTGACCCTCAGCACCCACCTCAGCTCCCACACCCGTGGGATGGAGGGCTGGAAGCTCAGCACAGCTGTTCATGCTCCTTCCCCAAAAACAATGGAACAAACATCCCAGCTCTCCCTCCATCCCTGAGCCACAGCCAAGCTGCCTGTGTGGGCGTTGGCTCTGGGTGAGGAAAAACAACGGCCCCTCTTGTCCCTGACCCAAATCCTGGCGCATGAGAGATCTCCATAACCAGCTCCAGAATGCTGAGAGGGTTCGAGGGAGGCTGGGGGGCCTGGGGAGCCCCAGCACTGCGCAGGATCCGTGTCCTACGGCAGGAAAAGCGGGAGCGTGGCTGCACAATGTCATCACCGCCTCTGGAATTTGGCCAGAGTCCCAAAGCTGTGGCTCAAGCCTGTGCCACAAGGGGTCCGAGCTGGCACACACTGGGCACCTGGAGACATCCCAGCACGGCCAAAGCGGAGATTTCCATCTGGGAATACAGCAGCTCACACCCAGTTCTGCCAAGGAATGGGGTGGGTTTCCCAGCAGCTCTGGCCACACACACAGAGTGAAAACACATAGTTAGGGCTGGAAGTTTTCACTGGGAATCCAAAGGCTTGATCCAGCCTCAATTAAACCAGGAATAAGTTGAAGAGACTCCAGGGTGGAAACCACCATAGCTCCGAAATTACATGAACAGCTCCATGTTTTCCCAGGGTATTTTAAAGCTGAGGTGATCCCTGCTCAGTATTTCACTCCAGGGAGGCTCCTGGAGCCACACGTGAGCAGGGAGACCACAGTGAGGCTGCAGGAGGCGTTTCCTCACCACATCCAGAGGAGACGGGATGATGTTGCTGCTGAACCAGAGAACAGGCTTCGAGAACGGCATTTTGCTTCCCAAATGTGACCTCTAATGAGCCTCTTACCTGTTCCCAGCTTCACTCCAGCCAAACAAGAACATTTTAAGGGATAAGTGGTTGCCTGGGAGTTACATTTGACACAACTGGTCTCACCTGAATCCCGTGAAGCCGAAGAGGACGACCTGCAGGAATCCACCCATCCCTGTCAAGAAGTTCACAGCTCCTGACCCATCTGAGTTCTCCACCCAGACCTGCTCCAGCACGAGAAAGAGATGGTGCAGGAGTTGATTTGAGATGCTCCAGGCAGTTCTGTGGGTTTCAATCCCATTGTCACCTGCCTGGGAGCAGGAGGGATCTGCAGCCCCACCACTCACCTTGAAAGGCTCTGTGATGTTGCTGAAGCACTTTTCCAGCTGGCTCCAGGCTCTCTGCAGCTCCTTCAGCTCCAGCCAGCCCACGGCAAACATGCTCTGCCAGAGAGGGAAAGGTGACAGTGCAGGGGAGCAGCACCAGCTCCGCCATCCCTCCCATCCAGAGCGAGCATTCCCAGAGCACATCCCAGCTCTGCACCGTCCCCTGGATGGAGACACCCCCCCCCGGGGGGAATCCCAGACTGGGCTCTTCCCTCTCCTCACCCAGGTCATGGCTGGCCCAGCCGGGTCAGTGACGGGCTCGTACATCTCCAGGTCGTTCCTCCGGACCTCGGCACTCATGGGATGCATCAGTGGGAACCCCAGCAGGACCACATCTGCCTGTTTCACCGGCTCACCTGGGAACAGGGCTGGTCAGACAGGGAGCAGCTCCCAAATTTCCCAAGTTTTGAGCCCAGTGATGAGAAACAATCCAGTGAGGCAGGAAAAGCACCCCAAGCCCAGCTTGTTGCACATTTCTTCTTTTGCCATTACCAAATCTGAACCAGTTGGAATTCTGATCCTTCCAGGATTAAAAGTGTGATCCATGGCCACCTCCATTGGCTGCTGCCACTGCCTCCCCACTCACCTGGGCTGTAGCCATCGTACTCAGGGTGATATTTCCTCTCCTCATCAAAGGGCACTTTGATTCTCCTGGCACGGTCCTCCCACTCCTCTGGCGCCGGAAGCAGCAGGTCCCGAGCCATGTCAGTGGCAAAATTTAAGCTGGAAAGAAGGAGGAACAAGGTTTTATGTCAGGGATAGGTGATGGTGAGAGGAGAGAAGGGACAGAAGGAGCTGCAGAAAAAGCTGCTGTGGGAGAACAAGGGGTAGAGATTGAGCCAGAGGTTACAGCTTCCATCACGGAGCCAGGAGCCTGTTCGTGTTCTCCAGCTGGCTAACAGCACAGACTCCCCATGGAATGCCAAGGGAGAAGAATGGAGACATCTCTCAGCCTCACATGGACACTGAAAAGGTCAGAGGAGCTGGAGGAGCCCCCACTCTTCCTCTGATTGCACAGGGGTGACAGGGAGAGGGGTGTGAACAGAAGGAGGAAGGATCCCCTTGGGTGCCCCACTGCTCCCATCCCTGCAGAGTGCCGGGTGGAAGAGCAGAGAGCCAGGCCGTGCTTCCAGGTGCCCCCAGGATGGATCCCAAACGTTACCTGCGCCGGGCCACGGCATTGGTGTAAGCAGAGTTATCGACCTGGCTGTGGTACTCGTCTGGGGGCATGACACCTGGGGGGACAGGAGGGGACACTGGCACCTCAGCACACCCAGGGGCTGCCGTGGCTCTGGGCCCCTCCTCAGGGACACAGCTGAAAGAAGGGGACCCTCCTGCCCATCCAGATCCTGCTGGCTGGAT